TTCCTTATTAAGACGTCATTGGGATGAAATTAAACAATTCATGTAATGGCGAAGTTTAAATAAACATGTACGAGGTAAATTAAATTTTATTCTTTCACCATCATCACCTTCCTACTCCAAGTCTAGACTCCATAGATGCCACCATCATTGAAATCAAAATGCAAATTATCCACCAATTAAAATAGTTTCTGCTTACGCCAAACCTAACCGTCCAGGTGGTTTCCCGGTGGAGGACTTTAACAAACTTCTAAAAATGGGAAATAATGTGATTCTCGCTGGTGATTTTAACGCTCTTCACTCCTTCGAGGTAATGTACTCGATCTTGCCTTCTTTAAATATATCCCCTTTAATTATGATATTGAGGTGCTTACAGATTTAGATTCTGATCACCTCCCCGTTTTACTCACCTTAGACACCAGCCCTGAATCACTGAAAGTTCCCAGTCAGCTTAATACTAATTGGGAGAACTTCAGGCATGTGATGGATAATAAAAATTTACCAAGTTTCAGCTTTAAAACTGCAGCTGATGCTGAAGATAGGATTAAAGAGTTAACCACCATCTACCTCACATGTCTGCAGGAAAGTTCTTCCCCTAAATTCAAACCTCCACCGAAAAGACTTCCTCATCATATCAAATACAATATTAAACTCAGGAATTACTACCGCCGTAGGTGGCAAAGGACGAGAGATCCTGAGTTCCTACGGCTCTACTACAAATCATTAACAGACATCAGAGAAGCTATCACCGTCTTTACGCAGCAACGCTGGCAAGACGACATAGAGGCACTAACGCCTGAGTCAACATCACTTTGGAAGAAATGTTCCCTCCTACGCAAACAATATCACAACATTCCGCCCTTGCAGGGCGCCAACGGCCGAGCAGCTTATTCCCCAGAAGATAAAGCGGAACTGCTCGCAGACAGCCTCAAATCCCAATTTGAACTCAATCACGATGTTGAAGATAAAAATTTCTTCGAACACACCAACACTACAGTCACGGACTTCTTACAAAAACCACATGTCAATAACCTGGAGTTAATTACTCCTAAAGAAGTCTGTGAAATTATCAGACACTTCAAGAACAACAAATCCCCTGGTCTGGATCTTATTAGCAATCGCATGTTAAAGTCCACTCCTATTAAATTTGTTCTGTATATTACCATTCTTTTTAACTTTCTACTTAGGATCTGTCATTTCCCAGCTTGCTGGAAGACCGCCGTAGTATGCCCCATTCCTAAGCCAAGTGCTAACTTGGCTTACCCTCATAATTACCGTCCTATCTCACTACTTAGTAGCTTGAGCAAGATATTCGAATCTGCGTTACTTAAACGCCTGAATCAGCATTGCGATCTCCACGATTTAATCATACCTGAACAATTTGGTTTCAGGAAGCAATTAGGAACCTGTCACCAATTACTTAGGTTGACAGAGCTGATTCATGACGGCTTTAACGAACGCAAATCTACGGGAATATTATTTTTGGACGTAGCCAAGGCCTTTGATAAAATTTGGCATAATGGCTTATTATTCAAGCTCATGCGACTTGATTTTTCACCCCATATTATTAAGATTCTTCACTCCTACCTACAGTCCCGAGCTTTCTTAGTCAAAGTGGGTGGAGTTACTTCCTCAACCAGACCAATAGAAGGGGGAGTTCCGCAAGGGTCGCTATTGGCGCCCGCGCTCTTCAATCTTTATATCAACGATATTCCGAGAGACTGCCAGACCTCTCTTTTCTGCTACGCTGATGATACGGCGATAGCCACACAGAACAAATCACCTCAGCTTGCTGTTAAAGACCTTCAATTTTATGTTTACAAATTAGAAAAATGGCTAACCACCTGGAAAATCAAAGTAAACGCCACTAAATCTGCCTGTATGCTATTTACTCGGAAGATCGCGTTTTCTCCATTAGGGAGTATCACTCTTTTTGGCCAGCCCGTCCCCTGGGTAACTGACTATAGATACCTGGGGTTGTTTCTAGACCCAAAATTGTCTTTTAATACCCATATTAAGAATGCAGTTGCTAAAGCGACTGGTGCGAGTATTAAACTCCACTGCCTAATTTCTCGTAAGAGTAGGCTTGCGATCAAACACAAGATTCTGCTCTACAAATCTATCCTTAGGCCTATCCTGGTCTATGGTAGTCCCATCTGGGCCTCTACCTCACTCACGAACATCAAGAGACTCCAGGTATTTCAAAATAAACACCTGGCTATGATTGCTGACGCACCATGGTTCGTTCGTCGTAAGATCCTCCATCGAGATCTAGACGTCGAACCTATTCCCGATTATATTATCAAAATTTCAAAGAATTTTCTTGAAAAATGTCCTCAGATTAGCAATGAGTTAATCCGTAGTCTGCCAACCTATCATCCAGGTGTGAAATCATCACAAAAAAGACCAAGGGCAGTCTACGACGTCTCCTATGAGTGCTTTCCTAAAGTTAAGAAGCACCATGGCTGTTATTCTGAACAAGCGCAAGCGAGTTCAGGTAATGGGGTGAGCCTTGCTCATTGAGAATTTATCTCAATGCGTATCTGACGATTTAATTTGGCTTAAAATTAATTAACTCCTTAATTTATAGAATTGGTGCAGAGGTAAAGATTCGTATCTTTGACCGAGAGGTTGAGGGTTCAGATCAGAATCCTGTTCCTTTTCTATCCCTTTTTTACTGCTGCGTTGTGCTTTAATTCTTTTCTTATGACTTTCCGACTGGTAATTAAGTTAGGGTTTTTATTTTATTTTTCGTTCGCTTTTTTACCCCTTTTTTTGTAAGGAAATAAAAGGATTAGATTATAAAAATTATAAAAATAAAAATAAAAATTATAAAATCGAAAACCAAACAAAAATTTTAAAATCGAAAACCAAACAAAAAGTATATAAATTTGAAAATCAAATAAAAATTATAAAATGGAAAATTAAAAGAATTACGGTTCTGTGATCGGCCTTTTTTTTTTTTTGTGGGGATTCTAGTACAGTGCACCATGATGTTAACCTTTACCTTTCAGATGCTCCTATTGGCTCTCACCGTTCAGCATGATTTCCAATCAGCGATCTGTAAACAAAGGGTTGGAGGGTTTGTTTACGTTTTTACAATATTAGAAGGCATCGACAACTGGTCCCTAATTGTACCGATTTTAAAACTTAACTTTTAATTTCTTTTATTTTGTATCTTACTTATTTTATAAATAGTATTTTTTTTTTTTTTTTTTTTTTTTTTTGAGTACCTACTTAATTTTTTGAATTTAGAAACATTTATCTTTTATTTTTTACTAACAATAATTAAGCAGCCATTTAAAATTCCAAGTTTATTTATGAATTAAGATGAGGAGGTTTAAGGGGTATATCCCCCTGTTGGTACTCCGTAAACGGTTGAAATTCATGCAAAAATTAGGGAACATTTTAAGTTAATACTAAAATCTTAATCACACCACTTGCAATTATTAGTATTAATCTTTCCCTCTTATATAATGTAGTCATTCCATGCGATATATAGTGAATAATTTCTATATTTCCCGTTTCTTCAATTCATGTATTTGCAATTTTGAGCAATTGGACATGCTATTTTGATATAAATAGCAATAAAGACGTTACATCATGAACTACTCATTAAAGCATTTTTGAATCCAATAAATTGCCTTTATAGTTTCAAGTACATCCATTTTCAATTGGGTATTACTGTATGACAATAGAGTAGGGAAAGTCTATACAGATTAATTCTAAAGATAACTGCCCGAAACATTTCGATTTAATTTATTCAAAAGGATAGAAAAAATGACTGACAACTTCCTAGCGAACTAAGATATTAAAAGCAAATATTCTAACTGCAAATTTATTCCTTTAAATATGTAAAGTTAATTTCTCAGAAAATTAATTTTTGCTATTTTTGTGTTACGTATTAACTATGGGAAGCATCAAATCCGACTTTTTCCTGCAATTTGTTTTGTGTCTACGTCAAAGGCAATTTTTTTTAATGTTGTTGCAGGAAAAAAAGGTTTTTCCCAAACTAAGTGCTTTAATATCGCAAATTAAATTATGCGCATTTAAAACTTCTGAATTTTAAAAATAAGGAAGCATGAGAGGTTTAAATATTGATTACGATAGAGCCTTTGAAACAATAGAGAGTTTTTGCATACCGTACGTTAGTTACCGTATGACGTCCGTTAGTTTTTTCTCCCTAGCGCGCATGCGCATAGGAAACTGAGCATGCGCGCGCGCTAGGGAGAAAAAGCTAACGTACGTCCTACGGTAACTAACGTACGGTATGCAAAAACTCTAATGAAACTTCGAACAAAACTAAAATTGCGCAAACTAAATTGCATAGCTTTCTTAAAAATTCTTAATTTTAGAAAGACTAATATTTCAAAACAGTTATAAAATGTGAAGAAAAAAATTTTATAATAAAGAAAATGCTAGATTTAATGAAAAAAAAGCTTGAAATATTTTAGTTATCTTTAATTAGATTTAACGATACGATACTAGATAATATTGGTATTACCGATCAAATAAATTCATTCAGTCCAAGATTCTCAAGACAAAAGCGTCTCCATAGAAATAATGAATGCTAAATAGAATTATTTGAATATGTAATTGGCATTTAACAATTGTTTAACATATAAACTTAACGAATAAATGCGTCAGTATTAAGATTACAGAAAATTGAGTAAAACACATTTATCTGAAGAAATTTAAAGGAAGAGGGGTGGTTGAACTACCGATTCTGAAAAGGTTAAATATTCAAGTGTTAAAAGAAAATGCTAAAGTTAGCAAGGATTATAGATTTAAGTAAATTTTTCATTAAAATACTTCCGTCTACTTAATCCTCCAATGATTAAAGCCCGAATCCTAATAAAAAGTATTAAATACAGGGACTATAGAAAATATTTCAAGATATGACTTCTCAGAAGATAAAATAACCAACTTTTTTTTGTCCTGGAATATTGAATAGTGATTGTCAGTCAACAATACACTTTCAGCCTTTAACATGCATCTAATCCAACGGCCGTACCATGCTGAATATACCGGTTCTCGTTAGAACACCGAAGTTAAGCATCATTGGGCCCGGTCAGTACTTGGGTGGGTGACCACCTGGGAACACTGCGTGCCGTTGGCAAATTTGGGACCTGAATGGCCGAGTGTCTGGCGCTCGGTGCCACAGGTTTCGGGTTCGAATCCCGGCGGTGCCATGGATGTTTGTAGTGGTTCGGAATCCACTTTAAGCCGTAGGTCCCGGTCTTCTATGACTGTAAGAGCGTCACGGAGCAAAAGTCAGGCTTCTACCTACGGGGTGCTCCATCACAACAGAAGCTGCTTCCTTCCCCTTCAATCATGAGTCCATATGGGCTCGTGGGCTTGGCCAGCCAAGTGGGATAAGAAACAACACATGCATCTATAGCAAAGATTACGTTTGTCTTCGCAAAAGTTGACGAAATGGTTATATTAGATTGCGAGAATAGACATTACCTTATATTTAGAAAAGTTCGAAAACAAGTCATTTTAAAACTAGTGCAGTTAACGAATTAAAAAGAATGCAAAGATGCAACTTGAAAAAGTGAAAAATTTTCAAAAATAAGAATTAAATTAAGAATTTCAGGAATTCTAGACAAGATGTTTATCTTTGTTTCAAATGATTTTTAAATGTATTTGGAGTTTCAAAATAGTCGATTTATTTCATTATTAAAATCTATTTTTTACTGCGGGGAACTAATGGACGGAAACGGTTGGAAAGATCATTAAAGGCCCTCTCCCCTTCCCCAAAAAAAAATATAATATTTACTTGAAAAATAGTCGTGATTCACACTTCAGTTAAAACCAATATTGAAGACAAATAAGTTTAATTAAATTTTACTACTTATAATTTCATTCATAGCTTAAATTTAAACTTGGCATCTGAAATGCACACCAAGTAAAAGTTTCAAATATGTAATGTTTGATCATCCATGTAAGATATTTTTAGCTAGTATTTCAAATTGAGAAATGGCTAGTTGAAATGAATTGTGATTTCCATGTAATCATAATTTTTAATTAACTTTTCATTCAGTCAAACTTCAGAACATTTAAACAAGCCATTATAAAATTAAAACTTTGCATAATGTTATAAACTAGTGTTTTCAAGCTTACTAATATAAAAAGTTCAATAACAATTTTACTTGCGGATTAGAATCTATTTCGTAACATTCACAAATATAAAGCGTTTATATGAAATTACGAGTCATTCTAGGCTCCATAAATAAAGCGTTAAACGCATAAAATTATCCACAAGTCATGAATATCCTCTGAATATGATTTCGGAATACTAGGACGCTTGTTTTTATTATATTAGTTGAGCATGAAGTCAAAATACATTCGGACTTTGAAAGATACATTTTCTATCACAAACTAAAATAAATCGTTCTTGAAGACATTGAAAATACCAGTTATTTGGGTTTAGTTTTGCTTACTGTTAAGAGATTACAAGTTTCTCCAGTTAAATTATCCCCCCCCATAAAAAGTGTGGGTAAAGGTTAACACGGCATCAGCATTGAGAATACTTTAAAGCTCTTTATAAATAATTGATAGAAGTATAACTTCCCAGTAATAATTCATGTTCCAGATACTTGATATTTCCTTAGTGTGAATATTGAACAATTTAAAGATTACTACTTACTCGCAGTAAATAGATTTTATGATTTTAATGCTTAGTTAAATATTTAAAATAACTTAAACGGTTCTTTTGACCTTAATAAATTTAGAGTTAATGGAGTTCGATATCCAAACAGAAACATTCATACAAACACGAAGAAAAAAAAGAATCGTTTTTTAAATTGCATTACTTTATAAGCTAGTAATCTTTTTGCAAGTTAATAATCAGAAGTATAAACTGAAAATTCCTTTTACTCCTTACAACACGTTTATAAAGAGCTAATCCTAATTTTAAAAGAAATTAATGATACTCTGATTTTCGTATTAAGAGGTAATAAACAAATAAAATGCAAAAATAGCATACTTTGAAACACTAAAAAAATCCATTCATTTTTGAAAAATGAAATATGACGACTTTATAGAACAATTTAAATTTGTAGGAATTGGTGTGTCCGAGTACGATTTAGTTCAATCAGTAGCTTGAAGTTATTTTAGAGGAAAAGGGACAAACAATTACCTGTAGTTAAAGCCGTGGAAAAATGGCGAAATGATTTAGATAACACTGATTTTGTTAACTGAAAAATTATGCTGAGGACAAGGAAAAGATGGGACTGTTGCATCACAAAATGGCTGTTATTCAATGCCAATAGCCATGTGAAGCGACAGAATAAACGCTTTTCTCTGATTCATACAGCTACAGACAATAGCTTTTCAATTCTAACCAGTCGAAACCTATTCTATTTTTCGTTAGAAAGCATGTAAACCACCGTGAGTGCGGTTCATCGTACTACCTGTATATAGAGGCATAGAAACCAAATGGGAAAAAAGTCTACGAGGCAACATCCACATCTCAGACATGCTTTAGTTCACAACCTTACAAAAAGTTCATTTTACTTAAAACACTCCAAGAACAATCCTGAAATTATGTACAAAAATGTCTCATTTAGAGAAGAGTGATGTTCTGGATGGGCATCTTACTTGCCTCACTGACTTGTACGTCTTCAAGAACGGAATACAAGAGATTCAAGTGCGTTTTGTGGTTCCTTTATGCTGAAGCAAAGAGATTCTATTATTTTACTGGTGGAGTGGACAATGTCATCTCCCATTGTACTGTATTTGCAAGAATCTTCCAATCGACTGACCACCATGTTTTCCAGACAAGAATCCAACTGAATATATTAGGGACATTAAGAAGGGTTACTCAATACTTATCACACTCCACAAGTACTTCAAGTGGAATGTGCTCTTTCACCAAGAGTTTCATATCTCAGTTCTCCTTAATTTCATTAGATCTGACTGGCAGATCTACAATATTGCTTACCGACAGAAGAAACTTATTTTTTAGCAAAAGATTTCTTGAATAAAAACTTAATGAGAAACAGGGCATGTGCATTTCTTTTGTGGCAAAAAGAGTAAAATTCAATTACCTCGTGTTCTTTTGTGTAGTGTTCTGCTAGCTTACCATATCTGTATCAAACTTTAGTCTTCACTGCTTCTGTTCGTTTACAGTTTAACAAAACCACAATATCACCCAACTGTTTTATGCATACATTTTGTGCCATAAGGTTGTACAAGTTGTATGCTATATATTGTTCAACTTTCGAAACACTTATTACTGAACAACGGTATTTAGAAAGTTTAATTTATTGAATGCAAACGGGACCGAGACCAGTCAAAAACCTGATCAAGCCAATATAACTGTATGGTGAAATCAGCTCTGTTAGAATTGGCTAGAAAAATATTTTAGCCACAATACGCTTGGAATACTTAACTAGTTTAACCGAAATGATCCATTATTACTTCCGATGTGTTTGTAACCTATTTTGTGAAAGAGGTGTTCCTTTTCCCATTTTAACCAATCATCCTGAAAAATAGAGTACACAAAATTAATAAGTGGTTTCTTGATTATGATTTGTTGGAAATATATCAAGATACTGTGAATTAAGAGAATATATGAAACAGTAGAATAAGTACCAAAAGAGTAGACAGGGTAATATTTTATGAAACTTTTAGAAATGGTAATATTAGAAGATCATTAAAACTTGACACTGTAAACCTAAATTTGGCATACAACTTAAATTCTGTGTGCGAAATATTTCCCATTTTAGAAACCAATTTTAAGTTTCTTATAACTCAATTCAAAGTAAACATTAAGTCTTTTAAAATGATACTTGCGACAATTTCGTAAAACACTAATTATTTAGTCGCATGAGAATTGTTTTGGATTCAAAATCAAAAGGAGAAGTGCTTTATTTTAGAAACGCTAGATATTTCAATGCAAACATTTTCTTATTCATATTGATTAATATATATTAATCAAACAAACGCATAAAATTACAAAGTCAGAAAGCACTTCAAAATATTTTACAGTGCCTCACGTGAAAACTGATTCAACTGAAACTTTATCCTAGAAGCTGATGGAAAAGCTTACGAATTTCGGGTTATAGCTAGAAAAAAGATTAAAGGGTCAATCTGCGAGAAAATGATCAATCACGGCCATTTTGTTCCTTCTCAAGAATTTAATTCTAAATTCCCTCAGGATAAGAAGTTAAGGACACCAAGGGCATTGAAAGTCAAGCGAAAGTAATGGATGTAAGAGATCAGGGTCATTCAAAAGTAACTCAAACTAGCTAGGCCCTAAAGAATCAATATCAAACCCGAGTAAAACCTTAAACCTTTTTATATTCGCGTAATGTTGTTTCAAGGCAAAAACAAAAGTGTTACCAAACAATCTAACATTTATTATAATAATCGGTTACCACAACCCATTCGATTATGAATGAATGTTATTAACCAGAAGAAATCACTCTGAACTTGTAGAACTGCCAAGTTGTGTTCGATTAAGGTTCTTAGTGGCAGTCGTTTCTAATTTGCCTACTCTTAGAATTCGTTCAGATTTTTTTTGTAACTCAATTAGGTCAACATGATCGATAAGATTTATCTTTCTATTTCTTTCTCCTACCCTCAGGAACTGTTCAATTAATATGCATATTCTATTCACGTAAATGAAAATTGATTCATTAAAATCTTCAAGACAGTTTTAATGTGTGAAACGATTCATTTCTAGCAATATTCCTCTAGACTAGTAATGAAGAGTCATAAATTGTTCCGTGTTTTTATTTCTAGTGAGATTGAAAGATGTATTGACGCAAATGCATTTCAGCGACAAATGCAACACCAATTTTATGTTAAACTGGAAGTAATTAAACATCATGCAAATTGATATTGGTTGGTTGCCGTGTTTTCCCATAGCATTTTACGTAGAAACTCCTTAAGTAGTTACCCCTTTCTTTTAGAAATGTTGATGTTAGAAGTTGATTAAAACTTGGCACTGTAAACCTTAATTTGGCATACAACTTAAATTCTGTGTGCGAGATTCCATAACAGATTTCCCATTTTAGAAACCAATCACAAGAGCCATTTCATTCGGCCATGCCGTGGCACACACAAGTCCTTAAATTCTATAAAATTACCATATCACAATATTT